GGTTTTAATTGGAAACTCTCTTTTTAAATTTTGAGGAGATCTGTGTCCATGCGTAGTAGAACCCTCCGAGGGTGGGGCTGGGGTGCCCATTAGCTCAGGCACCCGTATAGTCACCAGAATGGAGATGCACAGACAACAAGGGACAAATGAACAGTTACCAAAAGAAAAGAATGTCCACATCTTTATCTCAGCGGTTCCGCCAGGCATCTGTGGCCACTCTGATCCTTACCCCATGTGGTCTAACCCAAGATGGCGGTTCCTAGAGCAGTCGAGCGTCCTGGACTAGAAAGCAATAGATTTCTTGCTTCTGCCACAAATTTCCCCAGCTGTGAGCCTTCCAACTTTCTAAGTATTCTTTTATATGTGGTTCAGAGTTGTGGGACCAGCCCCTGAGCCTGCTTGGTCGGGTATTCTGTGTTGTTGTTGGCCGAGCTCTTTGCTACACGTCCCCCCAATCCGCCATCTTGTTTGTTCTCCTCTTTTCTTTTTTTAAAAAAGTTTTTATTGTGAATTGAGTGATAGTTTACATGGGAGAACATCAGTTTTATACTCATAATTCATTGCAATGATTACAATCCCCTCCATGCATCATCATTCAACAGTATTTGCTTATATTCCATTTTGTTGGGGCGGGGGAGATATGTACACAAAAAGACTCAGGAATATATAATCATTTAAACAACCAAAGGGCACATTCTACAAGCCTGCCTCCTGCTTGCCAGCACTCAGTCTTGTGTTTCTCTTTCCATGAGTCTAGAGTCCTCAGCTGCTCTGTCTCTCCATGTTATCACCTCTGCCTCAATCTCTCGTGTTACTGCTTCTCTGGATAGGGTCCCACATTCCTCTCATTTTCTTTTTTCTTGGTGGTCCTAGGGTCCTCTGTTCCTGGACTGTAAGATTAACTACTCCCCCCTTTTTGTTGCAAAACTTCTACCTTTACAGTTGTGATAGTTGAAATTAGGCATGATAACAGTTATCACTATTGAATCATAAGAATCTTATCCCCATCTCCTTTCACCAGGCCCATCTAGACAAGATGAAAAATATTCAATGGGGATTCTACTTTCTCCCACATACTCTGAAACTAAACTCCATTTTTTTTCTTCAAATTTATTTTTCACATGCAAAACATTCAGAAATATATGTGTACATAGCATTTAATTTAACTCTAAAGCCCTGAACAGAAACGATGAAGCGATGAAGTCTGGTATAGCAAGAAGAACATAGGACTGGATCCCGAATGTCTTGTGTGTCTCCTTCCAGTTTTGTCACCACAGTAGATGAATGAGCCTGGAAACATCATGGCTTGCTAATTTTACCTCCTTGCAGATCAGTCAGTAATATATGCACCCAGCCATGAGATCCATACCCTCATATACAATTGGTGTGGTGCTGTAGAATCAGCACTAGACCGCAAACCACAAATCCACTTCAAACTCACCAGCTGCTCCTCAGAAACCCTATCCAGGGTCGCTATGAGTCAGAACCAACTCAACAGCACATATACATAAGGTGTCTCTGAGTCTGAGCTGACTTGATGGTAACTAGCAATTGCACATCTCCACTTTGATGTTTCTAAGGTGCCCCAAACTCAGAATGCCTAAACTAGCTGTCTGAGTCCCATCCTCACTCCCCTAAATATGTCTTCAGTTTTTTCTCTACCAAATAATGACACCACCCATCACCTCTGCAGTTATGACAGCCAGAAACCTTGGAATTATTTTAATCTTGTCCTCTCCCTTCTCTCTCACATCTAAAGCATCATCAGAATGTACTGATGTTAACTAGTGAACATTCTGCATCACTTGCTCTTCCCTGCTACCACTAGAGATCAAATTACCAAAGTCTCTCTATAGAGCACTATAAGGACTTCTTAGTCATTTGCCCTAGTATCAGCCCTTTCCATTCCAATCCTGAATTTTTTCTGAACTCTGTAGCCAGAATAATTTGTAAACACAAATCTGACTGTACTCACTACTCTGCACAACTCCTTAAACACTTCAGGGTCTTTAAAGGTATTATATTGTGAAAAAGGACAAAACTGAGGGGGCTTTAAGAAATTTGTGGAAAATGGGATTAGGATAAAAAATTTTCCATTGATTCTGATGTAATTACTTACTGGGTTGGGACCTAGGCAACATTTTTGAAAACTTGTCAGGTGAGCATAATGTGCTGCTACATTTGAGAGTCACCGGTGTAGAGAAGTACTCAGCCATGTGTCCTCATAATAGGAAAATACTTGGAAAACACATCAATGCCCATAAATAGAGAACTTTCTAGTTAAACTGTGGGTCTTTCTTACTTCTCCACTCATCTAGCAGTTTGCTATACTGTTGTGCCTTGTATGTTGCTGTGATGCCACTGCAGGGTCACCCATGGTGGACAGGTTTCAGCAGAGTTTCCAGACTAAGACAAAGAAGAAAGAGGCAGATTACTTCTGAATGTTGAGTGGAACATTGTCAGATATAGTGCCAGAAGATAATAGTATTTTAAATAGCACCAGAATATTGTCAGATATAGTACCAGAAGATGAGCCCCTCAGGTTGGAGGGCACTCAAAATACACTTGGAGAAGAGCTGCCTCCTCAAAGTAGAGTTGACATGATGACACGAATGGAGTAAAGCTTTTAGGACCTTCACTTGCTTGACACTAAACTCTCTTTTGAAAACTTGTAGTCAGTCACTTCATACTTTTATAGTGCTTCCCCCTCTCCCCCCCCC